TGTGGGAGCTCGACAGCTTCCTCCAATACAAAATATAAAACGTCAAACACATTAATTAATCTATATGGTAACACATTAATACTATAGATTATAATTAATCTATAGGGTAACACATTAAAACTATAGGTTATATAGAGGTAAGAAAAACAAATGAGGAAGGAATATATATTGGGAGGGGTCTCATGATGCAGCATCTACGTACGTGCCACGACAAAATGCTATCCGTTGAATTGAACGCCAATGCCTTCCTCTGCGGCTCTGCCCTCTCCTCTCTAGCTATCAACGTTTTGTAAATTAATTTTACTACTAGGCTTGTGGTTTTGTCGAAAACCGATTGTACCAAACCGACCCAAATCGTTTTTTGTTTTCGGTTCAATATATATACCGGTTTAGCAATCGGTTCAATATGGTGGGATTGATATTTGTGTTTGGTTATTGGTTTGGTACCGATTGCTTATCCATTTTAAATAAAACCCTAAAATAAAAGAAAAATATACATAACATGAAACCGAATTTACTGATTTTTAACCGATTAAACTGGTTTCAATTGGGAAATTCCAAAAGATTAGTTATTTCGGTAAAACTTTCAATAACCAAAATCAGAACCGACTCAAAAAAAATATTGTTAGCTTAATTTCAAGCTAATTTAGATAAACTGAAAATCCAAAAAATCCGAACCAAACCATCCAAAAACCCGAACTCACAAGTTTAATTACTACTAAATACTGTTTTTATTTATTATTATTGGTTAGTGCTTTTACAATGTACTTCAATTTATAACATGTAGTGATATCCTGCAAAAATAATATAGAGTTCCAGAATTGGTGATGTGAAGAGTTCATATAACAGTTGGACAATTCAACGAAGTTATGATTGATTTACGCATTGATAATTAAATGGTGTTTTTAACCTTAATTATTCGATATATATATATATATATATATATATATATGCATATAATTTCATCTTATTTTTATATAAATAAAATTAATAATATAACTCGATTAATTTATTACTTACGTCAAAATAATGTAATTTCTCATAAAATAAGTGTGTTTGCGTAGGAAATTACTAGAATGAAGAGCATGTGAGTCAAGCCAGCCAATCTAACACTTCTAATACAACACCTCTTCTTTGTTGCCTCACATTTTCTTAATTCTTTTTTTTTTGTGATTAATCACAATATGTGCAAGTTGTATTGACCAGAGTTATTTATTTAAGACAATGCAATATTCGAATGGGTCCAAGCACGTGTACAGGTTGGTCCATATTTGCTACGTACGTGCGCCCAGCTATAATACAGGACTTGTAGAATCTTTTATTTTGGGTTTCCATTGCATGACAAGATTATAACTAGTGTTTTGTGTTTTTCTAAATCAACAATTAGTATATCCATAAACAAACCTTTTGGGTGTATAATATAAATTAATTAGGTCCCGAGCGATAAAGGTTGTTTTAGGTATCATGCGGTTTGTAAAAAAACTAATTTACAATAATGCGAAGTCAAAAATAATACGCAATGTAACATTTCGTCATTACCGTCAAATTTGTAAATTTTGTATAAATTATATATTAAATTGAAAATCTTCCCGATAAAAAATCAAATCAACTTTTAAAATTTTCCGTGTGACCGTAAAATTGTTTCGAATATATAAATATATAAGAGTTATACTACATATTATTTTATATTTTGTATTATTAATCTTTTTTTTGGTAGACAAATGTAATTGCCAAAAAAATGACGATTAGAATTTTTTTTTTTTTGCAGAAAACTTAATTTTATATTTACATTTCAACATGTAACATTCAATGTAAGTGAGTGGAACCTGACAAGTAAATTCCATAACTACTAGCTAGAACAATAGATGCGAAATAAAACATTGTAGTTGAATGAATGTGAATTGTATAAGTGATGAAGGTCCGTGGGGTTATGCAAAAGCGATATTGTATAAGCTCGATGACGTACGTGGGAATGATACAAATCTTTCTAAAAAATGGAATATTTTTGCATTCTCCAATTAATACATTATTAAAAATGCGAGAAAGAAACAAGATAAACATACACAAAAGGGACATTTGACTATATCACACACCACATGGGTTACACATTTATAATATTAGTGCATGGTTCTATCTCACCATGCCAAAATCTTGATTTGTAAATGAATGATTATTTTGATTTAGTATGTTAATATACACTTGGAGTCATATACACATTCATTATTGTATCTTATAGATTATACATACAATATAGAAAATATATATATATATATATATCTATGAAAGAGATTACAGCTCATGATTATCATCTTAACCACCTATAAAATATAGAAGAATTATTGTAAATTTTTAAAGAGTAATAATAAATACTACTACTATTTATGCATTAGAATGCCTACTTTTATATGTTGATTGATTCAAATCATCTTAGAACATGTTACATATATACCCATAAGTCAACATTAATCAGTGTCACATGGCTACCAATCTTAGCCTTTTGAATGTTGAATTTGTCTTTTTTTATCTAATTACAAATTTATTTTAAATAAATAAAAATCATTTATGCAGTAATTAAGTAGTTGTTTTTAATTAATTACAATAGTAAAACAAAGAGTAGCAAGAGCCTTGAGAGTTGCAGTAAGTTTACCTAAAAAGGAGCCTTGAGAGTGTCAACAAAAGAAGAGAGAACAAACAAACAAAAGGAAGATGATAGAAATGAATTAATTAATTTACAAAAAAAAAATTGAAACAAGAAAAAATTATAAAATAAATAAAAATTGAAAAAGGTGTCTACATCAATCTCAATAACAAAGCAAAATTATCTTACCAAATATTCCATCGTATATTACCACTTTGGCTTTTTCGATGCCAAGCCATTAATCTCGCGTCTTGAGACATGTAATATGTGTATATACTATAAATATGATACTACACTTCAAATTTTATTGCTTTATTTTTATCTTTTTTCAAATTAATGTGGTGAATAAAGTTCAATACCCAAAATGTGATTAAATGAGTGATTTCTTTTTCCTTTTTATAGTAATGGTAAAGTTTTTTAGATTTTATTTCTTGCTGAATGTTGATTTTTTTTTTTGTTAATAGACGTAATAAATTAGCGCAAATAAGTTAATTGAGAGGAATATTGTTTATATACGTGATATAGTACAGTTTGGTATGAAATTTTCGTGTTAAAATAAAATAAAATGAGGGGAATTATGCGTCGTCGAACTTCATTTTTGCATATATTCATAAAAAGTTGGGCATTATGTAGAGGAAAGCACAATCTAAATTTAACATTGTTGAATTTAAATCTAAACTTTTTTTTGTATTCAATAATCCCCATATTAATAAAACGGAAAATGAAAGTACATATCTTCAAAAATAATATTTAACTATAATACATTGCGAATACAAATTCTATCAAATTTACAACTCATTTTAGTTTTAATTATATCAGACTAAATCAAAACAATCTTGTATGATTATCACAGATAAATAGCTCTGAATAGGCAACAAAATTATAAATATCAATAAAAAAAATTTGAGGACTTATAAAAATGCGACAAAAAGAATACCCCATTTTTATAAAAAAAAACATAAACAAATCAGATAATTTTAACAATACAACTTAAACATAACAATAAGGTGCATACTTATGTAAAGTTTTGTAAACCAAGAATTATTGGTGGAATGAAACCAAAACAATTCCAACCATACCATTCTTCTTTTAATGGCCATGACCCCAAAGAGACATGCATAGCATAGCATACAACTTAAAATAAATATAGGTTAATAAAATAGAATGCAATTAAATTCGATTGGGAGTAATTAGTTGTCTCTCTCTATCACTTTCTCTTCAATTCTCAAAAGATAAACAAAAATTTTCTATTTGGAGTGACTTCATATGACAAAAACCGCAGTTGCTTTCTCAGTCAACTTTTTTCAAAATCTCTGAGGTCTTTGAAAGGTTTTTGCAGTAGAAAAAAAAAATATTAAATACAAACTCTGTCGTTTGGTTATTATTCTCTATCAATAAAACCCTAAAAAGCCTATTGCATTGGAAATTTAAAAGTGTGTTTTTGTTTTATTTTTTATTTAAAAATAGTAATCATAGGGTACTCATTATCTAATTATCACATCTCAGTCTCTCTTTTTTTCTCTTTCTCTCTGTGTTTGTTTTCACCTTTTTAACCACTAATCAAGAAGTTGTCAAGAAGTCTTCCAAATGTTTTTACTCTTAAATCTTTATTTCTTGAGGTAAAATATATTATTTTTATTAGTTGTATCTTGAGTCTAGCACCACAATACTCTCATAATTCCAACTATATAGAATATAACCACTCTCTCTTTTCCATTTTTCTTTTAGATGCTTTCTTAGTGCTTGTTGAAAAAAAAATCCTGAAAAAGCTAAGAATGATAAGAAGATAGACAAGTTTTTACATGTATATCATATTTTGTATGATATGAACAATTCCTATATAACATATTTTGTATGAACAATCACTATAGAGTTTCATTACATTACATACGATAAAAAAAATGAAGCTTTAGTATGTTACTCCACTTATAAGGAAGACAAAACAAACATTATTATTAAGTCCAAAGAAAACTTTATGAAATTCGTAAAGTCAAAATACTTATTCTATTTAATATTTAAACATTGTGTCCAAAAAGTAGAAACCAATATCGATCTTATAATTCTTTAATACACATTTTTTACTCATAATGTTTTAGTACTACGATAAGAGTGTAACAAGAGTTTTCAATATATATATATTTATTGTACAAACAACTAATATGAAATTAAAAAGACAATAAAAATTTGTTTAATGAGAAAGTGACAAGGATTGAGAAATACCCTTTTTCTTATTTTTCTCACCTCAGTAAGTGTTGTTTTTGCAGCTCTCTCTCTCTCTCTCCACACATTCTTGATCTCCACTATTTATATAGAGAAGTATTATAAAGAAACTAGTAAAGAGAGAGAGAGAGAGAGAGAGAGAGACATGATGATGTTAGAGTCAAGAAACAGTATGAGAGCTTCAAACACACTCCCAGATCTGTCTCTTCAGATCAGCCTTCCTAACTCTCAAGCCATGAAACCTCTTAATGGTGGTGACCGGAGCTCCACAAGTAGTGACTCAGGAAGCAGCCTAAGTGAGCTAAGCCATGAGAACAGCTTCTTGATCAACAAACCTCTCTTGAGCTTAGGCTTTGATCATCATCATCATCATCAGCATCAACAAAGGCACTCAAACATGTTCCAACCACAAATCTATGGCCGAGATTTCAAGAGAAGCTCATCATCAATGGTTGGTCTTAAACGAAGCATTAGAGCTCCAAGAATGAGATGGACTTCTACTCTTCATGCTCACTTTGTTCATGCTGTTCAACTTCTTGGCGGCCATGAAAGTATATATTGTTCTCTTACATTTTCCTTCTTTAAACAAAAAACAAAACAAAGAGAGACATGACTAATCAAGTTTATGTTGTTGTCTTAAACTCTAGTAAAACGTCTTGAGACCAAAAGTATTAAGATTTGTTTTGTTCTTTTGTCTTAGGAGCAACGCCTAAATCAGTGTTGGAGCTGATGAATGTGAAGGATCTAACCCTAGCTCATGTCAAGAGTCACTTGCAGGTCAGTTTCTTATTTTTTCTCATTTTTTTTCTTATGTTTTATATTTAATATTAATATTAATGGAATCTCATACGAATGAAAATACATATAAATGCATATGTAAATATTTATGAAAATGTATATAGTTGGGCCACTAGCAAACACATGATTGCATAGTTGAAATAAACTTAGCCAAACATATTTCTTATATTCTTTTCTTTCCATTTTTTTTTTTTTCGATTTTTCAAGAATGTGTTTTTGTTTCTTGATGCAGATGTATAGAACAGTAAAATGCACTGATAAAGGATCAACAGGTAATGCATTCAAACCATTTTCACTGATTTTTGTATCACTGTTGGATATAAATGTTAATTTATAATGGAACTTTTCATTATTTATTTTTGTGTAAAAATTAATTTTGCCTTTTTAATTCTTGGGAATAAACAGTAGAAGGAAAGGTAGAGAAAGAGGCAGAGCAGAGGATAGAGGACAAAAGTAATAATGAAGAAGCTGATGAAGGAACTGACACAAATTCGCCAAACTCATCATCTTTGCATAAGACCCAAAGGTTACTTTTTATTTACTTTATTTTATTTTTTCTCTAAACACTTTGCATTTAATCTCTTTTTGTGAAATTTGATGAATATGACCCTCTCCTAGGGCTTTATATTGATGTATTTGCCATTATCATCTTTAAATCCGTTAAGTTTAGTATATGAATGGTATAACTAATAACAAGAACAGACATAGCTAATCAATATGAGTTATAAATAAATGTATTTATGAGCATATCTAAACAAGAAGAGCCTCACTTTGAGTAGGACTTCTTGGTCATCCACAAAGGGAGTACCTATGAGCATATCTAAACAAGAAGAGTCTCACTTGGGAACAACTCATCACACTAAGGTACATTCTTGTGTGGTCACTACATATTTTCACATATATATGCATATAACATTAGGTTCCTAAAATGTGTAATCTTGTGAAAAATAGGAGAACAAGGAGAACGAGGCAACAAACGTTCATCTCAATTTGGAATTCACATTAGGCCGGCCGAGTTGGGGAATGGACTATGTAGAACCATCCAATGATCTAACCCTTCTCAAGTGCTAATTGTTTAACTTGAAGAACAACAAGAGAATAAGTCAGCTTAGATTTGCCAGTTTTTAACATAATTTAACTTTGTTTGATCATATGGACTTTGGAAAAGAATCATATATGATCTTTCTTCCAAGAATGTTCTATGATTTTTGGGGATGTATAAACAAGAGAATCAGATTAAGTAGTAGCTATGGTAAGGGAGTACAAGTTCAAGTAGCTAGAGATAGTTTTTTTTTGTTGTTGTTGCAATCTTCAAAAAAAAAAAAACATCTCAATCTTTTCATTATCACACTTTAATACAAATTGGAAAAGATTCTCTGCTAACTAAAAAGTTTCTACTGCTTCTTTCTTCTTTTGGTATGCTCTATTGCTCCCACTTTGGTATATATATGGAGAGTGTTTTTTTGGTAACATAGTCAATTGTGTTTTTACTTTTTTTCTATAAGCATAAAAATCTATAGTTTAAGTAAATCATTTGGTGATATTGAATAATGGGTCAATATATAAAATAATATTGCAAGATTTTGTTTAATGGGAATTCATATTTTTGTTATGTAAAGTAAGATATGATCTTTTGGTCTTTTAGCTTTGTTACGTAAGGGCAACAGCGACCTTGACTTCCTACAGAACTTTGGGTTTCGTTCCTCATGGACACTTGTGGTCATCAAAGACCTTGGCGTAATCATAATGATTAAACTAATTATAAGGAAAATATGAATATCTAGTAGAGCATTAAATCATTTTGTTTTGTACCATCTTGATATTTGAGTTTAAAATTCTCTAGGTTTCCTTGATAAAAACTCACAATTCTAAGATAAACGAAAATTTTAAAGTTATACTGTATGTATTAGAAGATACGCTCGGACTTGTAATATTGCTTGCATAATCGCATAAATTACAAAATAAAAATCTTTAAATAAAACTCTAAAACGAAAAAATTCTATTTCGCTTAAAAAGTACAAGTAAAACCTTCTTATGCAAATAAATGGTATATTTTGCTTTTTTTGCATAATGAATTTTAATTAATTTACCGACAAAAATATTTTAGCTTTAAAATTAGGAACTAATCATTCAAAATTAAAATTATTATTTTTAAATAATATTTAAAAACTCACAAAAATGTTAATCACTTCTTATATATTTTTAATAAACCTATATACTTTTAATAAATCTCAACACTATAGAAAACAAAAAAAAAACCCTAACTAAACACACAATGTTATTCAATTATAGATTTTAATAAAAGTATCCAACCATAATCCGCTTTTATTTAATTAATGATCTTAAATTATATTTAAAAATATGGTATTATTGGACCTTATATTTTGAAACTATGTTAAATACATTTTAAAATCTAGTGTTGTTCAACTTGGATTTAAAATATCTCATTAAGTATTCAAAACTAAAATAACTTTTAAATTCTTTGTGTATAGACTAATTTAAACTGAAATATCCTGCAGTTTCATGAATAAATGATTAGAATCAAAATACAAAGCATACTGCATATATTGTGAAATCTACACAAATAAATACCTAGAAATATTATGAAATTTTAAATCTTACAAATTATAAAACTTAGAGAATTTATTTTAAATCCATGATTGAATAACAGCTAATTTAACTCATCGAAATAAAATTTATGAAACCAATGATAATGACAAGTTGGCTTAACATTGATATTCATTCTCTATAGTATTATTATAGCTATTCCAATATTTAAGCAGCAAAGGCTATGAAAATATATAGGTTCATAAAACTATAAATCTCCATTCCATAGAGGTCATAGTTAGGCCCAACATTGGCCCACAACCCACCACACTCTGTTGATAGTAAATAAGCATAATTGAACATGAATCAACTCCCAAGGAACATGTCCAACTTAGATAGCCCCCGGATATGTTGGTTTTGAAGGTAGTGGGATGATCACTGAAGCTATCAGGAGACGTCCTCTTACAGTGGTTTTGTTCGATAGCATATAGAAAGCCAATCCGGATAAAACGTTCAAGAAAATATAACATTTTAAATCGCGGTTAAATATTTTTTCCTCCAGACTAGCCTATGTACAAAATGTAAATATACAAAATAATCAATTTTGTTAAACAATTTTAAAATTCGTACATCGGACGGGTTTTAATCTAATATCGCCTTGTTTATCTATGATTTATTTGATGTTTGTTGAAGTGGAGATTGTTTCTAGACTCCAGAATTCTCCATAAGACTTCAAAATTTATAACATTTGTGAGTGAATGTTCACTTAATGAACATTTGTTCGAAAAAATCTATATGCTCAGATAGTGGTGAAGCTTATCTTACGTATGAACTCAAGTTTCTTGAAGGCAATACCTTTTTCAAGTAAAACGACGTCACTTTGTGTAGGTTGATCAAAAATCTCAACAAAAAATTAATATCGTTTACTTAGTTTCGCTATTCAACTTAATAACATGATTTATTTTGTAAAGTTAATAAACGATTAAAATGAAAATAAACGAAAATTAACGACTATAAATTAAAAATCAATAAAAAAAAACTACGACTGTTTTAATCCGAAGCAAAATTGAGGTTTTTATTTGGCATTTTCGACAGTTCAAGATTTTGTTTTGACATTTTTCCTGTTTTTAAACTGTGCTAAATGTTAATCAAATCAAGTTGGATATATATCAAGTACTATCATCAACACATGTATTGCTCCAGGTTGTCAAACATAGTACCATTATTACCAACTAACTGATAGTTATGTTTCACCGGTAACACTAACATGCTTCGTTTTGTTTTAACATCATACTAACACTTGCTCACATAATATGCTCACATCTAAGCATGTCTGCTTTTACAATAGGTAAATCCAAAATGAGTTCCTCACATAAATACCAAAGAAGAAGAACTATTTCTTACTTTGAGTGCATTTCTATTATTTGTAGCTCTTCTTCACAAGCTTACCCCTACCCCAACCGGCAGCTGCTGGCTCTCCCCATCTCTCCTAAACTTTCCCCGCTCTTCGGCACGAGCTGCACGAGGTAGAAACTCGTCCCACGTACGGTTCAGAAGCACACAGATCCTTTCATGTTACTTCATTTGCTCAAGTAGTCTCTAATTTTCTCTTTAATCGTAACTCATTGCCACTCTAATGCACACACAAGTGAATGTAAACAAGTAGTATTCCTCATATGACTATTCAAACACAAATGACAATAGTGATAGGGACAGTTTCGAATAAAGATTGTCGTCGGGGAACAAATCCTTCAACTCTTATGTACACCTCCTGAACTTCTAGGGTCTAAAGGACAACAAAATTGTAGAGCTAGAAGAATGAACTAGAGACACATATAGAGTTAAGAAGAAGACTCAAATAGATTTCACTTCTCTTGTGGAAGGCCTTCGGCCTATATGTCCCCTTTTTCGTAATATATATTCGAATACATATTGCATTTTCACTCAGAAAGACAAACAAAGACATTCTAATTCACCTATGTGGTAGGCTAAGGCAAGATCCCTAACTTAACACAGATCTTTCCCTTCATAAAGCCTAGAAAAATTACAGCTTGCAAAATAATACTCTGCCTCACTATCTACCTTGTACACACAAATCTTTCTTCCTCAACCACGAATTGTTCCTAGTTAACTTGCTACAAATCTACTCCACAAACGGCTGAACCAAGGCGATTTGATTTCGCCAGAACCCGTACATTCAGCATCGCCTTCTTCGGCAGTGCTGAAGAGGGTTTGATCCGAGCAGTCTAAAGAAGCCCCACACGCCATATTGTAGGACTGACATGCTGAATGGCATACCCGTAATCTGTCGTCTCCATCGACATCACACTTCTGGATCGATATCTGATTTAGAGAGATCATAAAGAACAAATGTCAATTATCAGAGAATGATAGTGTCTCACCTACAATCATATGAGGAAACTTAGGCAAAGGTATTAATCATAAAAGATTGCAGCTCACCCAACAGGCTAGTCTTTTCGCAGCTTCGTCACAGTAGCTGTTACCGAATATATTAAATAACTTTCGAGCACCACCCGGAAAGAGCCTATTGTAGTTGGGCATGACCACAACTTCCTCAAGCTGCTGAAGAATGCTAGGCTCTCTTGGAGCACAATGTTGTCCTGATATGTCTCTTTCCAACACATCTTTGCACACCAATAAACTTGTAACTAGTTTAGAGCTGTTCTGACATGTGTAGCCAGCATAATCAGAGCAACGGAACTCACAAACCCCATTATCACACACTCCTCCATGTAGGCTGCATTGTTCGTCACAAACAGCTGTATAGTTGAAAAGGAATTTCTTGTCAGATATAATATTGATAAATGTATTCTTGACAGTTGACACAATTTAGATAAATATGGACAACTACCAGTGGAACAGTCGATTCCAGTAAATCCGTTTTCACAAATGCAAACACCCTGCGTTGTGCATTTTCCATGTCCATTGCAATTATTAGGACATGAACCTGCATAGTGAAAAGCATAACTTGTAAATTCAGATCTTAGGGAAATATAGAGACTAGACATGTACAACCATCTGGTTTGAAAGACAGGATACTTACGATTTCTACAGTCATGACCGTGATAACCGAGGAGACAACGACACTTCCCATCAACACAATCTCCATTAAAATTACAAGAACTAGGACACTGGCCAAGCACAGAAACTACGGACGTACTGCAGAGTTCATGGTAAGCCGGACAATTTAATTCACCTACAAACCAAAACACACATGGTTCAAAAGATTTGGTAACAATATGTTATTACTCTTTCAGGAAGGTAAAGAGCATTATTTACCATTAAAACCGGGAAATCGAATTGGTCCACCAGCTTGAGGGCAGAACTTCCATACTCCCTCCACAGCAACCTAGAATTTCACGAGAAAAACATTACTGGTAAAGCCATAAGAGCAGGATATCCTCATCACCATGAATCAAAGTAGAAACAAGTTGAAATAGAACCAATGACTTTATGACTTGTGTTGTTTCTCAACTGCTGTTCAACTATTACAGCTTATGCCCAAAAGCAAGAAAAAATGAAATCTTAGGACAAAAACGAAGATATAGAAGGCATACCTCCAACAAATTGTTTCTACATCTATGCTGATAACAACCATTCCCCTGTGTCATGGAACCACGAACAAACCCAGTACGCACTAAAGATGACGCCATGCACCTATATATAAGCCAAACAC